ATTCACTGTCACACTCAATACTTATTGCTTGTTCACTGCCAATTTTCAATGCCCGTATTTAATGTCCGCAAAACCTTAAATTTAACAAATCATAATCTCAAAAATAGAAAAACTAAGAAAAACACTTTTCATCCGGTGAGGACCGATGCGTATGGCTTTTCCAGTTTTCCATAATAGAAAACCTAAGAAGAGCAAGTGTTCACAAGTGTTCATGGGCGACTATTTCTTGTCTTCCCACATCTCTAATATTGAAGCCCGTCTTTCCTGAATGGCTTTTGAATTCCAACTTCAAGTCAAGATCAACCTATCCCAAAGTGAGGCGAATCCCTTCCACTGATTCAAATCTGGTGAATCCCATCCATGGTCTAGATCGACGACTTTGTTCCCAGGCCGGACTTCTATGAAGGCCGCGCGGCTAGATTGTGGGCGGAGGTTGTCGGGCGAGCGACGACCGTTGACGACGCCATGGCACCCAGGTCGGGCGGATGTCTTCTCAGGTAGGCTGCAGGGTTGGCTTCTTTGCTCCTAGACCGCCAGATTTGCACTAACGACTGGCAACCTCTCCGGTAGCGACGTCGCTGCACGCCGAGTGGCGGCGTGGCTATACGTGGGCGGCGGCACGGCTATACGTGGGCGGCGGGGCTGTATGTCTAACGACGGCGTGGGTGGGCATCTCAGCATCTGTACGCAGAGAAATAGCTAGAAGCTTTAGGGTTTGAAGCAATAAGATATTAGGCTTTTATAATAGGAGTCTAAGGACATACGAAGAGTTATTTCCCGGATAGGGATAGTTTCTAAACTTATTTCCCAAAATAGGGCACTTCTAAACTTATTTCCCGAATAGGGGTACTTTTTCCTTGTCAGCGTGCCACGTCATCATTCTAGTCAAACCCGCCACATCCACAAGTCCATGTCATCCTATGTATCACTTAAAAATAACAAAATTGGAGGACAAGTGGCTTCGAACCCAAGATCAGCTCTTTGAAATTTCCAACTTCCCACCACCAAACCACATTAGTTTCTTGTCCGAATCTTGTATTTACGTGTACTTCTATTTATATTGTTCCAGACTTGTTGAATTATTATAAAATTGTTATTATAATTGTAGATACTATAATTATTACTGTAATACTGTAGTTATTATTACGATTATTATTTTAGTTACTATTATTATTATTATTATTATTATTATTTTACTATTATTATTATTATTAATTTAATATTATTATTATAATTAGGGAAAATGGAAACTAATAATCCAACCTTTTAGCGATCTTCTTACAATAATCCAACCTTTTGGTTATTCATGAATAATCCAACCTTTGCACCTCATCTTTATTCACTGGTCCTTGACCAGTTGATGACCTGCTATTCCAAGCTATTTTCTTATCTTTGCAAATCATTATACCATAAATCTCATCTTTCACAAAAATAATATTTTGCAAAGATAAGAAAATAACTTGGAATAGTGGGTCATTAACCGACCAGGGACCAATGAATGAAGATGAGGTGCAAAGGTTGGATTATTCATGAATAATCAAAAGGTGGGATTATTGAAAGAAGACCGCTAAAAGGTTGAATTATTAGTTTCCATTTTCCCTTATAATTATTATTTTGTTACTATTATTATTATTATTATTATTATTATTATTATTATTATTATTATTACTCCATCCGTATTTATAAGTTCCCACACTTTCTTTTTTGAGTGTATTTAAAAGTTCAATACACTTCCATTTTCGGTAAGTTTACCCTTTATAAAATACTACGTATTCAACTATCTTACTTTATGTATTTTTATCTTCTCTTTCGTATTTTTACACTCTCTCCATATCTTACGTTAACTATATTATTATTGTTATTGTTAATATTATTATTATTATAACTATAATTATTATTATTGTTACCATTATTAGTATTATACGATAGTATTTATTATAATTATTATTAATATTGTTGTTATTATTATTATGATCATCATTAGTAACAACAAGAATAGAGATAGTAACAACAATAATAATAATTGTAATAATAATCATAATAATAATAATAATAGTAACAGAAAAATTTATAGTTATAATAACAAAAGTAATAACAATTATAGTATTATAGTATCTACAATAATACTAATAATAAAAATAATTATAATAATTAAAGAAGCCTAGAACAATATGAATACAACTATGTCTAAATACGTTGTTGAATCAAGTAACTCTTGTGGTCTAGTGGTCGAAGGCTAAAGTTCTATATACATGGGCGTGGGTTCGAATCCCCTTAGCCTTATCCTTTTTGTTATTTTTAAATGATACATTAGATGACATGGACCTTTAATGTGGCATGTAAATGATGTGGAAGTGGCATTTGACTAGAATGATGACATGACACGCTGACAAGGAAAAAGTACCCTTATTCGGGAAATAAGTTTAGAAGTGTCCTATTTTGGGAAATAAGTTTAGAAACTACTCTTATCCGGGAAATAACTCGACATACGAAGTATTAGTCATAAAAAATATTTTATTTTATTATTTATTAATATATTATTTAATTATTCTGAATTTTAATTATATTTTGAGAAAAAAACTCATTAGGTCATAGATTAAGAAAATGATAAAGTTTTAGTAATGCATAGGATAATTATCTCTTTAAAAAAAGCGTAGACACTTGCTTGTAATCTAAATACAACAACAAAATTAGAACATTTGCTTTCCACTCTTATTGCTCGTAAGAAACGTAAATCTGATATTGGACATAGCAAGCCTATATTTCACCCTGAAAGTAAATTCACATCGAGCCTTTTAATTCACCCTGAAAGTATTTGTTGTAGTCTATATGCACATAGAGAGCCTGTTAATTCACCCTGAAAGTAAATTGAGTACTACGGTTACCTGCTAATCTGATATTGGACACCAAAATTTCAAATAAACCATATTGGACACTATGATTACACAGGGGCATAATCAGGACACTGGCCGGTACAAAGAATATTTTTAAAAAAAAAAAATTACACGAATTTTTTTACAATAAAAATTTAGATACTTTTAAAATTTGGGTTGGGCCGGGCTGGCCCTCCCCTAGCCCCGCCCCTGTGATTACATGTATATCTCAAATATGACATTAAAGTTTTCAATGAATCAAATTTAATGTTATTCTAATCATTTTTGGACACCCACGAAAAGACATCCACGAAAAAAATTTCACATTTGAAAGATATTAGTATTCCCTTGTTTAAAAAAAAACTAATTATATTAAAGCAATCAACGATAACAAAGTTCCTACAAACACATAACGCCAAACCTCCATATGAGGCTCTGCATAGCCAAACGGCTTTCACACTCTATGACTAGACACATAGTAGACCATCCTAAGTTGAGGGAGACTATTCGTTAACCATGTGAGAGCTTCGAAGCTTTCACTGCCCATACAAACTTTATTGCTTCCACCCACAAAACTGTCTTGAACAATGAAAATACAAACAAGAAACCTACCAATGTTGTCCACAAAAATAACAAAAACGAAGTACTTAACAGAATTTAAATAAACGCGAAAGAAATAAACCGTCTTTAAGCCTCAAGCCTTTCTTATTCCCATGTGCTATGAAAAGATAGGGGTGAGCTCTGTGTTTGGCGAGCCACCAAGTTGTAGCTCGCCGCTTCCCTGTTTTTTGCTCGGGCATGCTCTATCTCCATTTCCTCACTATACGGGTGACCTAATTCATCCACACGTTTGCGCTTCTGTTCAAGACTTCAAGCTCCCCTTCCCCTTGTAATTAAAGTCCCGCCCTCCAAAGCGCTCACTTGTTTGTCCTAAACGCTGCCTCCAAAGTTAGTCTGGTCATTAATGTTGATCCCTTTGGCTGTTGGTACGAGCCATTTGTTCTCCCTCAACTGCATCCCCCCTTTGCTGCCCTAAGCCACGGGCCAAAAGTAAGGGTGGACTTGGGTCGGGCCGCCCGGCCCGGAACCGACCCGGTACTATTTGGGCCTGGCCCGGCCCGGTACCCGGTCTTGGGGCCGGTTCGGGCCAACCGAACCGCCCAACTCCCGGTTCGGGCTCGGGCCTTGAAAATGTTGAACCGGCTCAGCCAGTTCGGGCCCGGTTCGAGCCAAATTTGTTTTTTGTTTTTTTTTTTCAATTTTTTTTTGTTTCTACCGGGTAGGGCTGGATGTTTTGGGGGAGTTTGGGGGGTGGGGGTGAGGGGGGGGGGGTCGGGGGTAATTTAGAAAAACAAAAGAAATTTCAAAAAAAAAAAATATTAAACTGGAAACCGACCCGGAACCACTGGTCACCCGGGCCGGTTCCGGTTCCCTACTTCCCAAACAAAAGCCCGGCCGCGCCCAGGCCTGAACCGGAACCAGCCCGGCGCGGGTCCATCCCTACCAAAAGTCCTCTGCCTTGCTATCTCACTTCCCACCCTCTTACGAGGGCAATGGCTTTCGGTGTGTCGTATTATCCCACAAGGGAAGCAAAAATGGGGTAATTTCTCATATCAAAATTTGACACAACCTTCCTCCTTTTGCAAAAAACAGTTTCCGTGTCAGAGATTTACTCAGATCAATCCTAACACGAACAGACATCGGAAGATCTTCATCTTTGAATTTACTCATAACAATTTAGTTTTGATTAAAAAATATATATATATGGTCCCTCATATGTCGCCATGTCGGGTTCCCTAAAAACACTGAGTCGTTTCCGTGAAAAAATGACAGTGTGAGCAATCTGCCGCCGTGAGTCGCTCCAAAACCCCAAAACCACAAGTAGCGCAACCCTTTAAAATATGGCAATTAACTGCATAATTAAAGTGGAGCGTACACCTTTAGAGTGCGTCTGTCGCCATGCATATGTATAATTTGTCAAATGGAAAAGCGAAATCTACGGTTGACAGTTAATGATGAAAATAAAGAATTAAAATAAATAAATAAACTATTGTACTTCCAATTGAACAAGCATAGAAACTAACGGTACTGCTACAAATCCTGCAATCAAATCTAATACAGAAGACAGGCAATAAAACATCCAGTACTGATTTAATCAAATTTAGTGCAAAAGACATAATTATAAAAAATGCAAATAATAATTGGTGTCAAAAGTGAGAAGCATTGGGGGTATGATCAAAATTGCGGCTACCCGGCTCGGTACACTCACAATGGGTGTGTAATCATACCTTGAATCTTGAAACTCAATAATAACGTGGTACTAAGTTACTAACTACAAAAAGAATTACAAATGCAGAAGAAAGGAATTTGTTGCAATATGATAAAAATACATAACATGGATTGCAGTATGTAACAGGAACATCCTTAAATATGGTATGTCTTCGTTTTTACCATATGCTTGCCGTGACGATGGAGCTTACCTCTGAAAATTTGATTTATCGCCAGCAGCCCATCAGAGTTGAGGAGCCTTATTGGCAAGTTCAAGATGTATCCTCTAAATAAAAATGCTGTGGAGTTGGGGTTGTGTGGGGACAAAACATCCTTAAAATTGTCAAACTGAATAAGACATCAGCTTTGTTTGGTTGTCCCATCCCACCTTCCTTCTAATTAAGTGCTTCCAGTCCAGTAACTTTTCACCGCAACAAGAATTTTCTCCGGGTTAAATGGTCCACTTTCATGATCCACAATCCGACTCTCCCATCTCATCCTATCTGTTATACTCTTCACCTTCACCAAAACCTCCACTGCATCTCTGAATATCACAGTCCCTTCAGGCCTCAAGATCCTGTCCATCTCCAGAAGAATGTTCGCTATGTCGCACCTTCATCCACAAAATTGAGTTTACTAGATTAGAGCCACAACATGACTTGAAAATAGAGCTCACCATTTAAACCATCAGTGTACAGTATATGTAATGTTACGATAAGTGTAAATTGGCAATTTCATCTCAAATGTGCATCTGGTGTAAAAAAATGCATGCAAGGTTCTATTCCAGGTTTTACAACATAGATTGATGGCACTTCCAGAGTAAAATTGCCATTCTGGTTACCAACATTTTATAACATATCAGAAATAACTTTAATATTAGTGCATGTTTGGTTGATCCTCGGTAAAGCACCCTATCTCAAGAAAAAAAGCACTTTCCCAATAATATAAATATTGCGTCTTGGAAATGGATTCCCTATTCCCAAGGAAGATAAATCCACTTTCAAGGGAAAGTGAAATATAGTTAGGTTTGGTGAACGAGGGAGCCAAAACATCATCTTTTCATGTTCCACTGAAGAGACACTTTTAGGATTACTGAATGTGCATTGTAAGTGTAAAATGCTAATTTGACCCCAAACGTTGTATGTGAACATTGCATTCTCATGGTTACGAGTAATGGAATCACCATTTTAACCATCATTGCATGGTAGAAGTAACAATTACATTAATATAAGGGTTAAATGGCAAAACAACACTCAAGTCACAAGTTACCTGGGCTGATATATGCTGAAGACGCCGCCAGCGTGGATGAGATCATATGTACGTGGATACGTGGAGAATGCTTCACACCAATCATGGTATGTGCCAATGAAGCCACGTTCGTAAATCACTCCCAAAGTGTCGGGGTCTACGTTAGCCGGGACAACATTCATCACCCACACCGGATACTTCAACAAAGCGGCTGCAAAGCCACCTAAATTGGCATTCATGTCCATTACGTTCCGGTACTGCCCTTGGTGTAAGGGACTTGCGATTTTTTTGTAATATGTCACTCTTTGCTTCCACACTTCGTTATCCTCTTTGAATGTCTCTGTTGTGATGCTGCCCTGGACTGAACCACTGCTAATCCTTGGTGGAACGGCAAATGCACGCTCTGGCCACTTCACTAATGCACCGCCTGCAACTTCATCTGCTTTGCTTACCTCCGGCAGTGGGGTTATACACGACTCAATATCCTTGTACCTTTCTCAAGAAACAAAAGGCATTTGTGTGACTTCATTGACTTGTGACTTGTGAGGTAATACAGCATGATAATAAATATTTTAATGTGGAAATCCCGCCCTAGTCCCCATTAATTCACAGACTGGACAACATTACCTACTAGTAGTAGCCCATTAATAACAACCTCCGTTTATTCCTTTCATTAAAAAAAATCTCATGTAAGATAGATCTAGATTGAAGCCCTCCAAGATAGTGACTCATTGGAGCAAATGTCAATCTTACAATCCAATAACTTCATGTACTCGTATGTGAGACTCACATAATCAAATTGCTTAATTGAGGTTTTCCTAACCTATTAATTAATACTTAGGGTTCTATTCCTCAAAAAGTCAACTAGAAAGGAGTAACCCGATAACTAGACCAATCATGAAATTCAATTACTCATTTAAGCTTAAAATCAACCTAATGGGAAGAATGACCAAAAACTTATACTGAAGTATATGTTAGTTTGTGTTTATATTTTCAGATACAAGATGGCTTGCAACCTAACCCTAGCAATCCTTACCTAGGCGCTTATTACAATATATTGTTAATCAATTGCAATCATCAGAAGAGGACGTACCAGGCATCATCGGCATCACTGGACTTGCAAATCGATAATGATCTGGTACAGCCCAGATGGTTTATGGGCTTTTGCCAGACAGATAGATCTCCCTTTTCAGTTACCTTTTTCCAGCACAATCGTTTGGCAGCATCCTCAATGGAGTCTTGCTCTTTCTTCAAATCTTCTTTGGTCCTCTCCCACCCTCTCCAGTGTGTCTTCCAGTTGATAGGTGGGCCTGAAAGTATCCAGTACCCTCCTGGTCTAAGCACTCTGTCAACCTCAGTTAAATATAATCCATCTGTAAACACAAGACAAAAACAACAACACTCCAAACTGAGACAGATAATGCACCCACAATATCCAATTTAAGGCTTCAAATAGAAGACAAATATAGGAATTTATAGTGTATCTCTTATTCCATTGTTATACTACCTCCACCCAAAAAAAGTGTCATGCTAACCAAGGTACGGATTTTAAGTTTTAGTCAGGACCAGTACAACTAGCTGAAATTCTCGTTTATAGATATACTTTTTCAACTAAATATGGCTCTGATACCATCAAGAGTTCTGCTTATCTCTTGTAGATAGGAGAGGATAAGAGAGATAGAGAGAGTAGCTGTCAACATTGTTATTTGTCATTCATTTCTTATCCAATCAAACAGAAGGAACAGAATATAAATAATAAGACAGGTAGCAGTGACTCAGCCCTAATAGTTCTGATAATTACAATACTACCCCTCCATGCTAAATAAAGTAAACAAATAAGGAAAACTAAAACTCAGGAATCTTCACTTTTAAAATTCAGCATACATAACAAGCATACATAACTTGTTTGTGACACTTCAAACATAATTACGAGGGTAATGGGAATTAGCTTCTTTTGTTCAAAAAGGGAGCTCACCATTGACGGCCCAAGGTATCAAGCAGCGTGAGCAGTGGGCCAAATCAAAAGCTCTTGCAGGATATGGAAGTCTTTGTGAACCCAAAACACCAATCATAGCCGGGACACCTCTCTCCAGAGCAAACCATACCTGTGCTTCATGTGTATCTCTCGGGGCAAAAGACATAGCCACAACATTTCTCTTCAACAGATATGCGCCCCAACTTGCCACCTTACAATATACATTCCAAATAAAATTAAAGAAAATAAAGTTGTTATGATAGACAAACCGCAGTAAATTTTTTGATGAAATTTTGTGAGCATCTTATTCATTAAGTCTAGTTTACTCATACCAAATTTCAGCTAAAAATTAAATCGGGAAGGCAGTCAAATGAATTTTTGAAGATAACTGCGCAGTAAAACAGCGCAGTAAATTTCAGAAAATCATTTTACTGCCTTCCTGGTTGAAGTTTTAGCTGAAATTTGGTATGAGTAAACTAGATTTAATGAATAAGATGCTCAAAAAATTTCATCAAAAAATTCAACCGGGAACCACCTCATATGGCGACGGCCAGACAGAGCCTCCTATATAAGAGGTGATTTTCACTTTTTATGTGAGTTCGAGGGCTTATTTGATAGTTCTCCCTTTTATTAATAAAAAATAATTTAAATATAATTTTTTCATAAATAAGCAGAATCAGGCAATCCAGCCACTTCAGCCAGAACTTCAGAAATTTCAGCAGAATCAGCCAATTCAGCCAATTTCAGTGTTACCAAACGGCCTCTATATCTAATACTCTCTCCGTCCCTAAATCAACATCTCCCGTTTCTTATTATGGTGTCCCAAAATAAACTTATCATTTCCATTAAAAGTAATTTTAAAATGAAAATGTCAAAACTACCCCTTACTTTTTATTTACTTTATATTGATTTGACATAAAGTAGGGGTATAATTGGAAATTCAAAACAAAAATTTATCTTGCATAAATATGTGTGTGAGTTAAACCGGGAAGTTGTTTCTGAGAAGGTATGTAAAGATGAGTTAAAATTCATTAATTTTGCAGTGAGTTGGGCTTAATTTCAAAGTATCTCACATCGGTTACTACACCTCTATGTCAAGTATCTTTTGGGGTGAGTTGCAACCAATTTAATTGTAACTACAAGGCTATCATATATGACAAGAAGAATGTTACTTACTCCACAGCCTGTATCAATGGCGGTTCGAATGGCCCCACTTGTGAGGGGAATGAGGTCACTAATATCATCAATGTAAGCATCAGCTCCACGGGGAAACATAGTGCCACCCCCAGGAAACCTAAGGCGGTCACCTTCAACCTGAACCCAATTCTGGACGGCCTTCTCGACGCTAAGCTCTTTGTGGGGAATATTGGCAAACCAAGCGTAATCCCTACTCTGAGGCCACTTGAAAGGTCTCTTGTAGTTTGGTGGGGCTGGAATTAGGCAGCTGAGGAGCTCTTCCTTTGAGGGGCAATGCCTCTCCCTGTATTTCATCATGTCCCGCGGAAACATCCTTCCCCTTGGTGGATGTTGGCACGGAGTATACTCACTGTATGACATGTTACATGGTGGGAAGTTCTTATGCTCCTCGGCATCATCTTCGTTCACCGCCAACTGATGATGGCTTTCAAAATCAAGCGGCGTTGTTGTTGTCGATGATGATGATGATGACACGGCCGGCTTTTCAGATGATTGACTGTTATTGCATTCAACACTTGTGGAAAGGTGAGATTGGCCAGCAGAAGGGATGGGAGAGTATGTACTCTGCCAAGCTCCTAGAATGTAGAATAGGATGCAAAGGCCACTTACTCCCAAAATCCAAGTCAGCTGTTTCCTCTTTGCTTCCAGCTTTTGAAGCTTTGGGGACCCGCTATGCTCCTTCGCCATCTATATTGGCAGCCAACCAGTAACTCATAAATTGTAGTTGAACAATGTATCTATATAATATATTATACTATCTACATTATAATTACTATAATTATTATTAGTATTATTAATGTTGTTGTGTAGTTTCTCACCAAAATCGAAAAGATAACAAATATCAAGAGAAATATAGGTAGCCTATAGATCAAATGTTTATATTTATATTCTCTTTTATTTTTCCTTCGCTTATTTCCAATAAAAAGTACAGTGAGAGATTTGTGCTTAATTGTCTGCAAAAACTCTAGTATAAAATTCACTTTTTTTAAATTTATCTCAACCCAAAGATTGGCTCTCATTCAATAAACTGAGTGAAAGTGTTCATATTTTATATTTAGATTGCTTAATTTATAATTCAAATTGAAAGTTTGTGTCAGAGTATAGTAACCTAAGACATCTGTGATGAAACAAAATAAAGCTTGTATCTTAACAAAGACTGATAAAGTTTAAACGAGCTCACATTTTTCGGAGTTCGGACTATAGTATGCATACATTTTAAACGGTTTGATAAAAACATTGATAATCATTGAAAGGGCATTACTTTATTAAACATACATCTTACTGCAGATGATCTGGTGGAAAAATTTGTGAAAGAATAGTTTAGCAATAAACAATGAGAAATGACACTCTCAAAAACCCACAAAAATGTGGTTTTAGTATACATTTGCAAACATCAATTTTAAAACTAAAATGAATAGGGCAGCAATGCAAAGGGATACTACCTACTCCCTCCGTCCCAATTTGTTTTGCAAAGTCAACATTTTTTTGTCAACCAATAATAAAAGTCAATCCTCTTTACGGATAATTAACTTAATTTTTAATAATTAAAATTTACATATTCAAAAACTACATTAAAATCTCTTCAAAGTTATAATCACCAAATTAAAATATAATTAAAATTTGACATCCTAATTAAGCGAACAAAACAAAATTGTTTGACCCAGAAAAGACAAATTTGCAAATCAATTTGGGACAGAGGTAATATATAGTAAAAAATGAGGATTTGAAAAAAAATCAAAACATGCTTGAAAACAATCAACATAAATAGGGGGATAATGTATTGCTGTCAATGTGCGTGTGATTTAAATTTTTATTTTTGAAGATTGAACTGTATACTTTCTGAACATATACATATAGGCATATAGCTATAGGGAATATATACTTGTCTATTTTGCCAAAGAATACTATTTTCAGAATTGCCCTTCTTGTCCTTTAATGTGGTAATACCATATCAATGTAACCTTCTTAAGGAATGATCCAAACAATTTAATGAGTAAAAGTACTTACACAAATAAGATCAAAGAAAAATCATGAAAGGTAAAAAAAATACGTAGTGGTATATTTTGAATCAGCCAACACTTTAAACAGCTAAAGAAAAGCGCAGATTTGTCAATGTAGCAGATGCTATAGAAAATTAAAATGCAGATGTTCTAATACTCCGTTTAATATACACTACTTACTAAAAAATTAAAATACAGAGCTCAATCACCTGTTATAAATAAATAATAAAAAATGCATAAAACCGCAAAATTAGGGAGGGAGATATAAATCTGAATAATAATAAAAAAAGATCTACCAAGTGGTGTTTCAGATTTGGAATTCGTAAGCATAGATCTGAAAATCCACCAATGATAGAAACATCTTAAAATTGTTTTTCATATTTGGATAATTACGAAAGACTTAATTTTGGTATACAGTATTTGATTAGGGTGGAAGCTGATGCAGCAAAGAATGATGACGATGATGACGACGAAAACAATCGATTGATGAGAATGGCTTAGAAAATGAAATACCTGATTGGATGCAGAAAATATTCCAGTAGGAATTCCGAGCCGAAGGGAAGCAGGTTATATACTCCACTCCAAATGTTAGGATGCTTCTAAGGTGGAGTACGGCCTACGGAGTAATAATGTACTATATCCGATAAAGTTATGGTAAAAATTTGAGTTTGTAGACTTTGTACTCACTTTTTGGATGATATTTTATTTTGTATTTTATTTTTAAAAAATTTTGATTTTGCACCTCAACATATTACACTTTGTAAAGTCAAAGAATTTTCAAATGGAATGGAACCCAAAGTTAAGTTTTTTTAAAATGAAATGTAAAATCCAAAAATATGATGCAAAGTCAAATTTCTCTTTTTGCTTTAGTTGCCTTTAGTGGGATGAAAATATTAAGGGCATAGTACTTAGTACCTAGTGAGAAGGTCAATTATGAGAATTGGACTGGACTGGGCAAGTGGATCCAGAGGTATCGCACCGGTTCGGTACTTGTTGAAACCCGAAAAACACTTCTCCCTTTGTCCTTGTTTTTTCTCCCTTTTTGACCCAGCACGGAGATTAAGATAATCGGTTTTGTGTGGTGGAGAATTGTGCAGGGAAAAGAGAAATAAATGTGTAAAAATTGTTATGAATCACAAATTCTTTGTCAAAATGGGAAAGAGAAGATAATTTTGAAAGGAAAGTTTGAAGATAATTTAGCGACTGAGGGAGTATAAACTTAAAATCTCTTAACAACTTGTCAAAATCCGATTAACCTGACTAAAGCTGACCCCAGGGGCGGATCCAGGATTTTGAGATGCACTGGGCTGAATATGAATTATACTAGGCTTAAATATTATAGGAGTTGGCTAAATGTGAAAAAATGGAAAAATTTACACTAAAAAATTAAAAAAAATCTCAATTGCTCTGGACTTCAGCCTTCCATAGCCTGTACATAAATTCTCCTGACTGACCCGGAACTCTATCCATACCTATTACTAGGGGTGGGCGAATCGGTTTACGGTTCGGTTTTTGTCGGTTTCGGTTCGGTTTCGGTTTATTCGGTTTGAGGAAAATAGTACCAAACTCAAACCAAAAGAATTTCGGTCTGGTTTCGGTTCGGTTTGGGACAAATTCGGTTCGGTTCGATTTGGTGTTCGGTTTGATGTTCGGTTTATAAACTTGAAAATGATTATGTCTTGTTTCATATGTTACAATCCACTTTGAGTAATTTTGAATGTTTTGTTTTCATTGAAATTCCAACTAAATGAAATACTAGAACCAGCCTTCACCAAACCAATTGAACAACCTGCCTTCACCTGCTTAAACAACCTGCCAATTGAAATTCCAACTAAATGAAATACTAGAACCTAGCTTAAACAACCTGCCTTCACCTGCTAAACCAATTGAAACAAACTAAACCAAAGACTCACATAGAAATAGAAATAGAAATATAAATACAATTTGCTATTGATATCGCCAACCATAATAAATACAAATATGTCGTATTAGCTAACTTTGTCATAATGAATGTTTGAAATGTGTAAAAGTTAAAATAATACGAGTATATGCTTAAATATGCATTTTCATGTCTAAATTTTTTATTTATATCTTAAAATGAAGAGTGAAGATAAATACAAAGTGTGTGTGTGTTGTTCGGTTCGGTTCGGTTTTGTTCGGTTTTTATCGGTTTCGGTTCGGTTCGGTTCGGTTTAATACGGTTTGAAAGAAATAGTACCAAACTAAAACCAAATTGCATACGGTTCGGTTTCGGTTCGATTTAGTTCGGTTTGGTACGGTTTGGTTCGGTTAAACCAAACCGTTATGCCCACCCCTACCTATTACACACGCATCACATTAAGGCATTTCATCCCTAATAATAGAGAAACAACCTAATAATAGAGAAACATAAAGAAGAGAAAGGGTAGGTTGGAAAGGCTGAAAACCATGAAAGATAGTGCGTTTTTACTTCAGGTCTCTTCTATCGTGGTTCATGGATTCAGTTCATGAAGAATGGGAAATATAGATGTGGGACAAAGAGGGAAACTCCCATTAATTAATTGATTAATAGGATATTTTTTGAAGAAGAAAAATTGATACTCATTGTATTCTTAAGTTAAGTACGTAAACTTTGACTAATAACATGAATAATTTACTCAATACTCAGCATATTCGTCTAGGGCTCCAGGCTTTTCCATTTTGCTTTAACAAAATAGCTAGAACTAATTAATTGGTGGCGTGTTCTTTACGGCAGAAACCTAACTATTTGTCTACTGTTTCTCACTGTTCCATAGAACAATAATATGGGCGTGTAAATGTGTATGTAATTTTATTGACTTATTAGATCTCTTGCTTTAATGGTTGTTGGGATCAAGATAATCCTAAACCTTTTACTCCCTTCATCCATCCCATTAGAAGGTTCACACTTTCCTTATTTTGACGTTTCATATAAAGGTTCTCATTTCTATTTTAGGAAACAATTATGGTATATATTCATAAATATTAAAAATTATACCTTTATAACATCACAATTATCAATACTAATTACATTATGATATATACCTATTAAAATTATTTCTCATAATATACTCAAATTACTTTATTTAATTATTGTCTAAATAACCGTGTCGTTTTGCTATGGGAACCTTCCAACGGCACGGAGGTAGTATTTTTTTTAGTTATGTTGTTGGGTAGTAATTATATTTAACTAGAACTATTATAAGCTTTGCCATAATTTCTAGCTATGAAAAATTGGAAATGAGGATGTTTTCTTTTGGACCGTTTTCAGTCCCAGACCAGACCAGATCAGATCCGACCAGACTTAAACAGACCAAACCAGACCAGACTTAAACAGACCAGATCAGACCAGACTTGGATAGTTATAAAATACAAAGAGACCAGACGTTTACCAGACCAGACCAGATCAGACCAGACCAGCAAATTTCAGTCCAAAAGAAAATATCCTGAATAGCATACCAACCGAGTGAAAAAATTAAGATCTAATAGGTGAACTTATTATTTTCGATCGGCTGTTTGGCAATTGTAGGCTATTTGCAATAGCTTCTGCTTTTAAAAAAGTGCTCTTTTTAATGAAATGGGGAGAAGTGATTAAATAAAAGTTGATAGTGTTTGAGAAAAAAGTGATTTTGAGAAGTAAAAGTGGGTAGTGTTTGGTGAAATAAGTGTTTTTTGTGTAATAGAAAAAGTAAAAGCACTTTTGACGCGGAAGCAAAAAAAAAGTGATTTTGAGAAGTAAAAGTGGGTAGTGTTTGACAAAAAACACTTAGTTACATTGATAGTCAATTATATCGACTATCAGCGTTTGAGCCAAAACCCCAATATAATAGGGAAAATAGAAACTAATAATCCAACATTTTAGCGTTCTTCTTATAATAGTCCCACCTTTTGATTATTCATGAATAATCCAACCTTTGCACCTCATCTTCATTCACTGGTTCCTGACCGGTTGAAGACCTGCTATTCCAAGTTATTTTCTTATCTTTACAAAATATTATCTTTGTGAAATGTGAGATTTATGGTATAATGGTTTGCAAAGATAAGAAAATAACTTGGAATAGTAGGTCATCAACCGGTCAGGGACCAGTGAATGAAGATGATGTGCAAAGGTTGGATTATTCATGAATAATCAAAAGGTGGGACTATTGTAAGAAGACCGCTAAAAGGTTGGATTATTAGTTTCTATTTTCCCAATATAATAAACATAAAACATAAAACACTATAAAATGCATAGATTGGATATGGTGTCACGCCTCGGACCTCCCCGGACACGTCAACAACCCGCTGTACAATACGAATAGTCAACCGCAGTCCAACACATTCATATTATACAAGGCGTCTTGAATATCATTCACACACATAACATCCATAAACAAACATAATAAGTAATTCATAACGCAGCGGAAAACATTGTTTAAAACAAAAGGGCCACACAGGGCTATTCATGAGCACGCAGGCTCTATAGTAAAATATCCATGAGCATGTTTAATATTGTTCAAAACAGAATGGAGAAAGCACGAACCACGTCTTCTCTCCAAAGGATCACCCGAGCAACGGGCACAGGTAACAAGCTCGAGCTTCAACCTGAAATGGTGGTGGGACGCCCCCGAAGGGGTCAGTACTCTATACGGCTATAAAGTACTGGTGTGGATGGCATCTAAGAGATATACAACAAGTATTTCAAACATAAGACCCTCAAATAGGGTGATAATACAATATAGTGGTAACCCTAAGTTACCCCGTTTGAAAATATACTTATTTTATATAAAAGTCAAGTAGTCGGCCTGTGGGCCCATGTTCATTTAGAAATCACCATTCCCATTCCCCGTGACTATAAGCCACGACAATTCATAAGTTCATCACATTACCATTGCATAGCAAGGGCTCGGCCCAACTACATTTCTATGCAATCCTTTATGTCAAGTACATCCTATCACATTTGCTTAGCAAGGGCTCGGCCCAACTATATTTCTATGCAATCCTTTATGTCAAGTACATCCTATCAAATTTGCATAGCAAGGGCTCGGCCCAACTACATTTCTACGCAAATCACAATTTACATGGCAAGGGCTCGACCCAACTACATTTCCATGCAAATCACAATTACATGGCAAGGGCTCGGCCCAACTACATTTGCATGCAAGTCACAATTACATGGCAAGGGCTCGGTCCAACTACGTTTCCATGCAATCATAGAGTCCGACTCTAATTCTACATTATAGTCCAATTCCTAAGCAAACCTATGTCTAGAATTGACATCTCAATAATCTACCTTGGATCATTTTTAATGACTGCCCATAACTTACCCTTAACTTCATACTAAGTCATTTTATACACTTGAAGTACATTCAAGTGCATTCCATACACTCCAATACTTAGGATCCATTTCATCAACAATTTCAAATAATCACTAACTAGTATCTCAATACTATTAAGATTTTTGTCATCATACAAATATCCTCATTTTGTAATTCTCTACATATTTATAAGTATGTAGCAGCAACTTAAACATTCAACTTCAATACATAAATATCCATTTATGTATCAACATATTTAATACACGAGTAAAATCCCTATTTCACAAATACTTCGTTTATAACTCATTTAATCTCAAATTATACATACACCTCAAATCATTTCCAATTTCATTCTTTGGGAACTATATCAATTTTTTATCAATATTTAATCATCATAATCCATGAAAAATTATGATTTAGGCATTTAGGTAATCTCATGCTTAACCTACAAGTTGTAAGCAATTAGATGTCGATCCTCACCTCAAATGAGCTTTAAAACCTTCCTTCTCGCTCCAACGACCAAAGCCTCGGCCAAGAAGGTTTGAGAACTGATTCCTTGCTTGGAATTGAGTGTTAAACAGCCTCCTCAAAGTGCTAGTTCAAATCCTAATCGTAGATACGAAAACAGCCCCTAGAATGGGTGTCTTCCGGCTAACTCGTTTCTTTAGGAGAGTAAATCCGTTCCTGCGAGGTTGTGTTTTGCTCGGACGATTTGGAAGCCTTCAACTACTCCGATTGATGTAAACCAGATCTTCACGGATTCCTCGTCTTGAGATATTTCTTTTGGTATCTCTCACGCCTCATTTGGATTGGTATAACTCGATATATCAACCAAACAGCCTCAACACTCTCACTGCTCGAGTTTACCGACAGCAGTTCACTCCAGCTCGATTTTTGTATGATAAACTCTCCTCTCTCTCACATATACCACTCAAATGTGAAACTAGACTTCAAAGGCTATCCAAGGACACCTTATACACCTCATTTGGACGAGTACAACTCCCTTTAAGGAGGGAGACAAACCACACCCATGATTTGTGCGGAAATTGACAAGGTGGGTCTCAAGTTTGATTCCAATCAAGTCTTGTGCAGCTCTCCTCCAGCTTGTGCGGCCAAGGTAAGTCTCCTCACTTATTTTTCTTGTCTTGCAGGTACTCAAATCATGTGGAGTGCTTCCCAATTGATCCCAATCAATTTGGGGTCCAAAATATCTACCAATACTTCCAAAAAATGGAAAAAATGGATCCTATTATTTTATGTTTTGTCAAAAGATGTCTCTTTGTACTCATTCTAATTTATTTAGAACAAGTCAACTCTCTACATCATATTATTGATCTCCAATATGTGTATGATCATCCCAATAATTTACATGATGAATATTATAGAAGAAAAACCTACTCCCGTTATTTAGCTCAATAATGCCAAAGATGGGACCATAGGCATTTGCATTCTTCTCTAATCATTCTATCACTTATTTTGACATTTGTCATTCATATTATTGGACTACTAGCCGTGTGGGTCACCCTCGAGTGGGCCTCAGACGCCTTTCTTGAATACTTACTATTTTTAGCAGGTTGGGCCCAAAATAATGCTTAGGCCGCCCGACCTTCCTCAACTTGTCTTGAAAGGTTATGTAACATTATTTAGATAATGTTGGGCTCTTATGTTCATTAATAAGGCCCAAATAAGTATTTGCAAACCCGACACTAATATACGAGTTTGAACAGTACAATAATCAATCATGCGCTACGTAAAACATTAATCGTTTTACAATTGTTTGGAAATCGGAAATTCAATACATAGAAATTCAATTTTTAAATTGAATTTTCAAGGACGTTCGAGTGCGGTGTCACAAGTTCACCCCCCCTTAACAGGAATTTCGTCCCCGAAATTCGCAACTCTACTCAAATGGGAAAGCACACTGCTTCGTCATCAAAGCCTCTGTTTCCCACGTCTCTTCTTCGACCTGATCGCTCTTCCAAAGGACTTTAACCATTGGTTTTCCAATACGTGAAAGGGATCATGTGCATACCTCTTTTTTTTAAGTATGGATATATGAAATACACTATGTGTCTTTTCTAACTCAGGAGCGTGTGCCGATGAATGAGCCTCCTCCAGTATGGACTCCCGAAGCTCATCATTTGAGGGTACACGCACTCGGCCACGGGGGTGACAAGAGACCATCGTCTCCCTCACGGAAATCCTCAACGGGACACGCTAGCATACGTTCTCGGACCCTTTTTAGCCATTTATCCAGTTCCTCGCCCTTCTTGATCTCATCAAGTAAGGTAGGCCTCATTTCAAATCTCGCCACCAAGGCGCCATCAGTAGCTACTTCGAATTGAGTTCTCAATGTCCTCAAATTCATTATCAATGCCCTTGACGAACTCTTTCGACTAAGGGCATCGACCACAACATTTGCTTTACCAGGATGGTACTCAATCACAAGGTGGTAGTCCTTTATCAACTCTGTCCACCGTCGTTGCCTCATGTTTAACTCTTTCTAAGTAAACACGTATTTCAAGCTCTTATGATCAGCGTATATGTGACACGTCTCCCCGTAGGGATAGTGTCTCCATATCTTAACTGCAAACACCACTGCTCCCAGCTCTAAATCATGAGTAGGATAGTTTACCTCATGCATCTTCAACTGTCGTGAAGCATAGGCAATTACCCTCCCCATCTGCATCAACACACATCCGAACCCTTGGATGCTCGCGTCACTATAGACATCGTACCCCATAGCATGTTTGGGTAATGCAAGTACCGGTGCCTCGGTTAGACTCTTCTTCAGTTCTAAGAACCCCTTCTCACATCGGTCATCCCATACAAACTTAGCCCCCTTTCGAGTGAGCTTCGTCAATGGCGATGCCAAAACTGAGAACATCTCCACGAATTTTCTGTGGTGACTAGATTAATCAAAGTTTCAATTTCTAAGGCCCTCAATCTAGGATGTTATTATTTTATAGTTAACCCATGTTCCTTCATGCTAGAGCTCGGCTCATAGTCATACTAATTTGTGCTAGAGCTCGGCTCATAGTCACACTACATTTTGCTAGAGCTCGACTCATAGTCATACTACATTTTGCTAGAGCTCGGCTCATAGTCATACTACATTTTGCTAGAGCTCGGCTCATAGTCATACTACATTTTTGCTAGAGCTCGGCTCGTAGTCACGTCATATAATCCCTAAACAACTTCTTAGTCTAGGCTCCATCCATTTTGAGTAACCCTTATGGCCTACTCCTAATGTAACTTGAGTTCGTAGGGTATCATCTTTCTTTTTCACAAAAGGGATTGGTGCTTCCCGCGGTGAATAGTTCGGTCTAATGGACCCATTATCCAATAGCTCTTGCAATTGGGCTTTCAATTACTTAAGATCAGCAAGTGCCATTCGATATGGCACTATAGATATTGGTTTGGTGCAGGGCTCGACCTCGATCCCCCCTCGAAGTATAGGGTGTTTCTATCATTACCTTCGAGTTCTAAAACCTTTGTGTAGCAATCTACCCTCGCATGATGCTTTTCTAGCCAACTCATCCCTAGGATTGCATCGAATACTAACATACTTAGAGGTACGAAGTCACAAGTCAAAGGTTGACCCGTTATTTCTACCTCACACGAAGGATGGTAGTGTTCTCTCCACATCGTCTCCTAACGGTGTAGAGACCAACATGGGTTGCGCCATCGCTATCAATGGTTCGTCTAAACCTTCGGCAAACGTTTCACTCACAAATGAACGTTGTGTTCCGGTATCAATAAGAATTCTCGCATTCCTACCCTTTATATTTAGTGTTCCTACACATATAAACCGTGTAAGACACACTACTCAACGTACCAGATCAAAATGGGGTTCAAACGAAAATTTCTCGGACCAAAGTGCACTGGACCGGCGCTGGGTATGGGTCTGGCCGGCGCCGGGTTAGCTACTGGAACCGGAAAGGGGAAAGTTGTGGGCACCGGACCGGCGCCGGTTACCCCCTGGAGCGAAACATCAGAAAGTTCTTCCCGGACCGGCGCCGGGTTGCCCCCCTGGCCGGCGCCGGGTAAGCTACTGGATAGAACCCTCCGGGAAATTTTCCGGGCCGGCGCCGGGTTGCCCCCCTGTCCGGCGCCGGGTAAGCTACTGCCAGCCTTGTTTGGCTTCGTTTTACGCTAGGCCGGAGCCGGTTCAAGCCCGGGCCGGCGCCGGTTCGTCCCCGGGCGTGTTCAACTCATTTTTTCGCTCAAAAACGAGCCGAAAAGTCATCGGTTGACCCGTACATGCTCCATAAAGCTTATAATACACATGTATGTGAACAATACAAGAGTGAACCAGAGATTACCTGCAACGGAGTCGGGGTTGGCCTGAGCATCGGCCTCGGTCATTGCGCAGACTCTAACTTGAGTCCTTCCTTGATTCACCGATGGCACATTGCTCGCGCTTGCTCCCCCATGTTCCCTAGTTTATAGGGAACCCCCAGTTTGGTTTCTTGTTTCCGTAGCCCCGCTACTTGGTCCCGATGACCTTGCCCCACCCCATTGTGGGCAATTCATCTTTAAGTGCCTGGTGTTCCCGCATTGGAAGCATCTAGGAGGGTCACGACATTTGCCAAAGTGGCTCCTTTTACAGTTATTGCACTGAGCTACCCCCGAGGTCCGTGATCCTTGTCCGTTCGGGCCTTGGTTCCCCCTAGGTGGTGGCGGTGGTGTTCGGAAAGATCCTCCTCCATCGTTTCCCTTTTTATTAGAACCTTGAGGGCCATGACTCTCCCACTTTCTCTTTTTCGCCTCTTCGGCGTCTCTCCTCTTCCTCTCTTCCCATTGCTTCTCCCCTTTCAAGCCTTGATCAACCATTTGACTGAAGGTCATGTTAGGCAATTGTGTTGCCCTATCACGTATCTCCAAGTCTAGAGCATCCCAGAAGTGGTTCACCATTCGGTTTTCGTCACATGCATACTCTGGTATGTAGTCGGCAAGATCCCTGAACTTGTGCTCAAGTTCCCTCACCGTCATGTTACCACCCTGAGTTAGAAGGGTATACGTCACGCCCCAGACCGCAATCCAAGCGCGTGTACAACCGCCGTATAATCAAGTGACGTCACCCGCGAGTCAACCTCACTTAATTACACAAGGCGTCCGAGAATATAATCCATCCATACTCAGTAGTAAACATACATAACAACATCACATTTAAACCAATGAATAGCGGAAATATTCAACGGTAAGTCATAAGCCACAACCGGCCAACAACATGAGCATGCAAGCCCCAAAAAAAAATAGTTTATAGTAAGATAAATATCCATGAGCATGTGTTCGGTAGTTTGAAAGAAAATAAGGAAGCACGAACCACGTCTCCCTGATTTGATATCACCCGTGAGAAGGTGCAAGTAGCAAGCTCTAGCTTCAACCTGAAAATGGTGGGGCCCCCCCGAAGGGGTCAGTACAAGTACCGAGCGAGTAGCAGGCTAAATATAGAATAACTAGCGTTTCAAGTATAAGACCCAAACATAGGATGATACTTAAATAAGCAATCTTTCCCCCAAGTTATGAAATACTTATTAGTATATATATACTTGGAAAATATTTGATCCGTAGATTTCCATTTTTATTTGGGAAAAATAGTAATAGTCAATATCCTTGACTTAAATCTCAACCCACCCATATGCCTATGAGTGTATAGAACTCCTCCTTGTTCAAGTAAAATATCATAAGGACACCGCCCGGTCCTAGATCATTAAATGAAATCTATGAGTTTTGAGGATACACACTCGATCCTTGGGTACTCCACCCTATAACCGAGTTTTGAGGATAACCGCCCGATCCTTGGGTACTCCACCCTATATAACCGAGTTTTGAGGATAACCGTCCGATCCTTGGGTACTCCACCCTATATAACCGAGTTTTGAGGATAACCGCCCGATCCTTGGGTACTCCACCCGACCTATGACTTACCACATATCACACTAGATAGGGTCTATATCATATTTAGAGAGCTGATCAGGTCCAGCCGGAGGGACGGGGAGCCGCCGTCCGAACTCCGCCGTTTGGGGCGGTTCCCGGTGGAATTTTTTGATGAAATTTTTTGAGCATGTTCCTCATCAAGTCTAGTTTGTCCATACCAAATTTCAGCTCAAAATTCGACCGGGAAGGTCGTCAAATGATTTTTACAAGTTAACTGGTCCGGAAAATACATATTCCGGACCAGTAAACTTGCAAAAATCATTTGACGACCTTCCCGATAGAATTTTGAGCTGAAATTTGGTATGGACAAACTAGACTTGATGAGGAACATGCTCAAAAAATTTCATCAAAAAATTCCACCGGGAACCGCCCCAAACGGCGGAGTTCGGACGGCGGCTTCGGTCCCTCCGGAGGGACCTGATCTTTTCCGATCATATTTAACCATTCATAACTAATTCAATACATAAAACTTATGTATCACATTCCATGCAAAGCCATGCAATTATGTAAATGTATAATTAATTAATACCAACCGATATTAATTAATCCATTATTCATCGGTCAACGTTGTCGTTGACCGCCAATTCAAGCCTTGTACATATCAACTTAATCATCATAATATTAAATTAATAATACTCATTTGTGCTTCTTTTACACTTCAAGCTAATATGCATTTTATAAAATTCCTCATATCATATTTCATGCATAAACAATTAATTCTTTTCATACAACTTAATCATGTTGGCTAATCACATGTTTAAATATCTTTTAAACATCATAATGAACACATATAACATTTATTTAGGTAATCTCATAATTTACCCAAAAGTTATAAGATATTAAGCCGTCCACTCACCTTGAACTAGCGTATGAAGTTCGACCCTTCTTGGTTGAACTCCGGTGAAACTCCGGCGACTTTTGGTCAACTCCGGCGACAATTCCGGCGACTTTTCCAACTTTGTGAAATCACTTGAAATACCCTTTACAAGTGCCTAACAAGGTTTTAACATCATAAAACCTTAATCAATACAAATAACTTATAAAAGGTTATTTTCCGGTGAACCGGTCGTTTTGGCTTCTAAGTCCGTTCTTGGACATAGAATCACTTTCCAACCCATGAATCCATACTTATAACATATGGAGCCATACTAAAGGTTCTTCATATGATATATACTTCATATGGTAGAAGAAAAATAGAGAGGAAGTTATAATAAGGTCATTACCTTAATTATTTCACACTTTTAGCACTTTAGCTCCTTTTTGGGTGATTCTTCCTTGATGAGCTCTCTTCAACAACGGAGGAAGGAAGAAGAAGGGTTTTCTTTCTCTTTTTGCTGCAGCTTGGCCGAAATGGGGGGAGGGAGAGGGGTGAGGTATACCCATTTGTCTCATTGAACAAATGAGTGTGGATGGGGGCCACCTCATTTTTGTTTGATGCCATAAAGATCAAATCAAGGCCTCCTCCCATGTTTCTCTTCTCCTATCAGCCGGCCAACCCCTTCAATTTGAGTGTCAAAAACGTGGGTTGGCCCCCACTCATGTGGGAGGTCAACCCTTTTTGTCCCGAAGTGTATAATCGGTCCCGAAAGTTGTATTTTTTCGGACTGTTTTAATCATAATTTATTTTATCGGGTAAAATAAAATATATTATGTGTTCCCCATCATAACTCCCCTTTGAAATAATATATGTTCCAAAACTTTAATTTGGAAGTCTCCGAAATTCATTTTCGGGCCGTTATCCGTTAAATTACCAGTACCGGTAATTTGGGCTTCTTTTGACCGATCGGTCACTCTGGGCCTTTCCATGGCCCAAATGAAATATCCACCACTATATATTTATTATCTAGACCAAGATGAATAAAATATATGGTCTCGGGAATGTCGGCGGCCCCCACTCCCGGTGTGGGTCCCACGTGCAATTTACTATTCACGCGAAAGAAATAATAAAAATTTACAACTTCGTAAATTCATTAATCCTTTAATAAGGTTCAATACATTATTTACATAAAAGTAAATATATTTGGGGACGGTGTTACAAGTTAACCCCCCCTTATTTGGGATTTCGTCCCCGAAATCCAAGCATCTAATCGAAAAGAAATGGGTATTGCTCCCTCATTGAGACCTCGGTCTCCCAAGTTTCTTCGTCGACTCGATCACTCCTCCAAAGGACCTTTACCATAGGAATCTCCTTATTCCTAAGCTTCTTTACTTGTTGACCAACAATCTTCACTGGTTCCACCGCATATTGCAAATCCTCACGGATCTCTACCGGTGGTTTCTCAAGAATATGAGATGGGTCTCGTATGTACTTCTTGAGCATTGATACATGAAACACGTCATGTATCTTCTCAAGTTCAGGCGTCAAATTGAGGCGGTAGGCCACGGCCCCTATCCTTTCAAGGATTTCAAATGGGCCGATGTATCGGGGGTTAAGCTTTCTCCTCGATACAAATCGAATGATGCCCTTCCAAGGAGAAATCCTTAGGAAGACCTCATCACCGACTTCGAACTCTAACGGTCTCCGCCGTTTATCAGCATAACTCTTCTGTCGGTCCTGAGCGGCCTTCAGTCTGTCCCGAATGATCCTCACCTTGGCCTTGGTGATCTCAACCAGCTCTATCCCTTCGAGTTTGGCCTCGCCAACCTCGTCCCAACACAACGGCGTTCTGCACTTCCTCCCATACAATGCCTCATATGGAGGCATGCCGATACTTGCCTGATAACTGTTGTTATAGGCAAACTCCACTAGGGCCAAATGCTTGTCCCAACTTCCTTGGAACTCCAAGGCACATGCCCTAAGCATGTCTTCAAAAATCTGTATCACCCGCTCGGACTGTCCATCCGTCTGTGGGTGAAAAGATGTGCTAAACTTCAGTTTAGTCCCCAAAGATGCTTGAAACTTTGGCCAAAATCGGGATGTGAATCGTGGATCCCTATCCGAGACAATGGATATTGGGACTCCATGTAATCTCACAATCTCCTCCGTGTATAGCTTGGCCAATCTTTCAAGGGGATAAGTAATGTTGATAGGCAGAAAGTGTGCACTCTTGGTGAGCCTATCAACCACCACTCATACTGCATCGTAGTTGTTCACTGTCCGTGGCAGCCCCACCACGAAGTCCATGGTCACATGTTCCCACTTCCACTCTGGGATGGTGAGTGGTTGTAAGAGCCCTGCTGGGTGCTGATGCTCTGCCTTAACTTGCTGGCAAGTAAGGCATCGACTCACAAACTCTGCGATATCCTTCTTCATACCTGACCACCAGTAATGTAACACTTGAGATTTAATATAAATGGATTAATAGTACTACTCATACCAACAAGGTGCATCTCCTTTTAAGGGAGCTCATTAGCCAAGAACTCCAAAGTTAAGCGTGCTTGCACGGGAGTAGTCTTGGGATGGGTGACCCCCTGGGAAGTTTCTCAGGGCGCGCACGAGTGAGGACAAAGTGCGTGTAAAAGGCTAGTGGCGGTTTGTGAGGACAGTACTAGAGGTCTAGAGTAACTACCTCGGGTCCCACGGGGCCGGGGTGTTACAAATGGTATCAGAGCAACCCTGCGACAGTGTGCTGATCCGTTAGATATCGGGCGGGCACTTAGTAGGGGAAAAGATTCTGGGGTGTGATTGAGATTGGTCAAAGGGCGCAACGAGGACGTTGCGATCCTAAGTGGGGGTGATTGTAACACTTGAGATTTAATATAAATGGATTAATAGTACTACTCATACCAACAAGGTGCATCTCCTTTTAAGGGAGCTCATTAGCCAAGAACTCCAAAGTTAAGCGTGCTTGCACGGGAGTAGTCTTGGGATGGGTGACTCCCTGGGAAGTTTCTCAGGGCGCGCACGAGTGAGGACAAAGTGCGTGTAAAAGGCTAGTGGCGGTTTGTGAGGACAGTACTATTGGTCCAGAGTAACTACCTCGGGTCCCACGGGGCCGGGGTGTTACAAGTAACTTTCCTTCAGATCTCGGTACATCTTAGTACCCCCTGGATGCATGGCATATGTTGAAGAATGAGCCTCCTCAAGTATAGCCTTCTGGAGCTCCTTATTCTTTGGTATGCACACACGATCCTTGAATAATAAAAGACCGTCATCACGTACCCGACAATTCTCGACGGGCCCCTCAAGGATCCGTTCGCGGATCTTCTGACATTCCTCATCAATGGCCTGACATCTACTGATCTCACTCAGCAATGTAGGCCTCACCTCGAACCTAGCAATGAGCGCTCCGCTCGTGGATACCTCCATGTGTGCTCTCAATGCCTGTAGACATGTGAGTGGCGTCCCTGACGTACTCTTTCTGCTCAGTGCGTCGGCCACTACATTGGCCTTTCCGGGATGATAGTCGATGATCAAGTCATAGTCCTTGATCAACTCCATCCATCTCCTCTGCCTCATATTCAACTCTTTCTGAGTGAATACATACTTCAAGCTCTTATGATCAGT